ACACACACACACACACACACACACACACACACACACACACACACACACACACTAATCACCAGGCTTTAGGGTGGGAGTTGGATTTATAAATAAACTTCGTAGAGGATTTGCAGGCACAGTTATGAAATGCAGTAAAATCTCCTCAGACGTGCTTCTGTCCACTTCAAACAGATCTTATATGATATCATGTTGTTGCACTAATAGAGCTGCAACTAATGATTATTTTTAATATTGATTAATCAACTGCACCTTTAAATGTTGGTCAAAAAACTCCAAGAACCAAGAGAAACGAGATGTTTGCTCGTCATGTTTGGAGATTTCCTTGAAGAATTATTACTGAGTCGTTAAAATGATTTCTCGGATCAGCTGATCGTTGATTCTCTTTCATGTGTTCAAAGAGCAGCTCACTTCAGCTCCAGCACAACGATCCAGGTTGATCTTGTTTTGTTTTCTGATCTGGTTTCAGTGAAGATGAACTTTATGTAACTCGCAGTGAGCTGCTGTCACAGCCATCACTGTCCACACGATTCATTTCCTGTTATCTGACCTCATTTTGAATTCCTTCTGAACACCAAACCAAAAAATGAAGAAGCACAAACTTTGCTATAATATAGGTTTATTAATGATGTTTCCAAATGACGTGATTCTGATGACATATTGCAGATGATCAGTCAGTAAAATTCCAGTTGTTTGAGTTTTCATACATTAACCTGATGGAGGAGGCCCCATCTGTGCAGGCTGCTGCGTACACGATAGCTGAAGCTTATCAGGTGTGGGCTGCAGGGGCAGGACGTACCTGTCCCCGGCCACCACCTCCTGTCACCACTCGCAGTTTGTTCTCAAGGTTTTTCAGGTTTGTTGGAGTTTAATTCCAATATATTCTCGTTGATGAGAAGGTTCTCTCAGTCTGGGTGTCATGTCTGTTTTGATTTCTATAGTTTTCCTTAATCCTTTGAGTCTGTTTGTATTAGAGTTTGCTGGTCCTCGGTGTTCCCTCTGGATCTCGTTGCCCTCCTGTTTCCCTGATTAGTCCATAGTCCAGTCTTCCCTTCGGTTTGGATTGTGCATGTGTTTGTGTGTCCCTTGGGTTTCTACGATTTTATTAAATTCGATGACATGTTAAATAATCCAAGTCAAGTTTTCCAGGCTTCTAGTTTTGTGTCTTTGTATTTTTTCCAGTCTTTAATCTTCGGTTTCCTCCTGTGTGACCTTTGGGTGTGTTTTAGATCTTCTTGTCTTCCCTTTGCTGGATTTGTTTGCTTCACTCACTGATTACTTGTGCGTGACCTCTGCCTGGATAAAGGATTTGGATTTTACTGTCTGCCTCCAGTGCGTTCTCTTTCTCGTGTTCCTCACTCATAACCTTTTCAGCGTGGGTGGCCTGCTGGTTGGACACGCCCAAAACATACCAACAAGGAGGTGTTTGGGTGCAGCCACAGCAGATACTGAAGCACTGAGGTGGATCCTGTCCATGTGAAATATGAAGCACAGCTTAAAGCTCCTCCTGAATCTCTAACGAGGCGCCCACACACCTGTGACAGGAAGCTCATTTCTGCTCCATCTTATTCTTTCAGTCGCTACCCACAGATCGTGCTCACGGGTGGGCGTGGCGACGTAGCTAGCTGACAGCTTCGTGCTCACGTCTCTGTACTACAGCCTCGCTGTCACAGCAAACCAGTCTGCACTGCCCGACACACGGACGAAGACCCAGAGATACCTGAACTCCTCCACTTGGGGTAGCAACTAATTGTGAATCCAAAGAATTGCCGCCCCATGAAGCTCCACCCTAACATGGTGTATGGTTCTGACCCAAGCAGCTACGTTGCTGAGGGCATCTTTCCCCTGGTTGGATCTCCCAAGGTATTTAGGCCTTGGAGAGGGAACAGGGATTCATGATGACTCCCCATCGTGGAGTCAGGATTCAGGTGGAGGCCCATCAGCTGTAGGAGAAGCTCTCTGGAGCCTGTGTTTATGGAGTAGATGGGAGTCAAAGGGCATTAGTCCAGTTTTGAGGGGCTTGTTTGGTTTGAGGGACGTGCCAGCGAAGCATCATAGCATGACTCATGACCAGCTGCATTCAGCGGTGAAATAAACTCGTTTTTGGCGTCTCATCGAGTCTCGATCGCCATCTGTGTCTTCTAGATCGTTGGAGACGTTTTTTTATTCACTCCATCACAGCTCACAACAACTTTTAATCCATTTCCAGGGACTACCTGTAAAGTGCTATAAACATTTCTATTTCTTTGCCAGCTGGACTTATTTTTCTCACATCAGGAAGCTGCTGTGCTCATGAATGAATGTTGAGTTACAGCAACTGTGTAAATGTGCTGATATTTATTTCCATAATGCATGTTTCTGGTCGGGAACAAAGCCTTTGCTCCCCCGTCGAGAGACAGATTGTGTGAAATGAACTCAGCCGCCTGCTTCGCTGTTTTATCCCGCCGTGTTTTCTCCTTGCTCTCCCTCTCCTGTCCTGGCTTTTCTTTTCCATCCTCCACCCTCTCTGCCTCTGCCAATTACTCCCATCTGTCCTCTAACGCTCCCTCGTCCTCGACTCGCTCTCCCGTCTCCTCTGACACGGTTGGAAGGTGACAGCAAAGGTTTAAAAGGCTGCTTTTAAAGACGCTACATGAAAGTGTTTCCAGTGACAGTGACGTGAGTGATAAAACATGTAATGATATACCTCCCATCCTCTCTCTCGCAGCAGCAGAGTAGCTATGGGTGGCACATCGTCTCCTGCAATTACTCTATAATGACCTTTCTGCCTCGTTCGTCTCTTCCAGCCGAACACGCATCAGCCGTCGTGCCAACCGCGCTGCTCGTTGACTCACACTGAATCCTAATCCGCTGATTTCACTAAAGCGTGTACAGGTCTGGATCTTTGCATCAACAAAGACACTTTTTATTGTCGTTGTTGTTTTAGCCGATGCTTCCTTGCACATGTTGTGTGTTCTCACAGGTTTTACAGGCAACGCAATCATCACAGCCGCACTCACTGACCTCTGCTCACCTCACAGTGAATGTGGGAACACGCTGTTTATTTGAACTGTGGCGTCTTTTTCTTTCTCGCAGCATATCCAACTTCACCCCCAAAGTTGGAGAGAAGGACACCCAGAGAGCGATTCGACAAGCCTTCAATGTGTGGCAGGCCGTCACGCCGCTCTCCTTCCAGGTGAGACGTCCAGATACACGCCTGAGTCATACAGGTCGAAAGCTGGAACATATGTAGCGCCCGATCACAACAGTCGCCTCGAGGCACTTAATGCTGTAAGAGAACGAGAAATTTGCTTTGGACAGAGAGGTTACATCGCACACACACACTGCACTCCTCCATGTAACCTTTTAAAAAAAGCTAAATATTACATCGATTAATGGGGAGTTTTTTATTATTCTAAACCCGTTCTTCTCATGCTCTGTGTTCATTAATCATCTCGATACTATATAGGGCTGCCACGATTTGTCGACTAGTCACGATTACGTCGACTATCAAAATCGTCGACGACTGATTTAATAGTCGACG